TTTTATTGAAGATTTAAACTCTTAGTTATTTCCTAAAAAATGAGTAAAAATAAATAAACGAAAACCGCATAAATTGGAAATGCAATTGAATAATTTTGCGTACGAGTTATTATAGTTAAAAATTTATCCTAATAATTTAAAAGAAAAAATCTGCCTAGATTAATATTCTAGTATTTATGTAATTGTACGTCTCTTTTGAGATGCTAACGCTGCTTCCTTCGAGCCAGCTTCAGCGGGCTGGACATCTGAGACCTTCCGCCCCTTGTGGGTGATGAATAATTGCGACCTTCAACCTCTATGGTGATGTTCATCTTGACTTTCGGTGCGAGATAGCTTAATAACTGAAGCGCTAGTAAACATTTGGCCACTAAACTAACTATGTAATTGTATATAAGAAATAAATACTGAATTGAAACGTGTACAAGATACTACGTCACGTCTGAAGGAATGTAAGTACTTGTAAAGTAATAAAGAATACCCGTACTTGTTCTGTTATGCACTGAGCTAGTAATAACATAACATAGCGATGTCGGCGCTAAATAGTGCCTGATGTGGCCTGTCGCCGATTCTTTTCATTTTCGTGCCTTATTTACAGAAGATTTAAAATCGTGTCATTTGACCGGATCATTTCAAGACTGACGATAGTTTGAAATAGCTACTAGATTTCCACCGGGTTCGATATGGTGCTAGGCATTTCAAATCTGAACCACATATTTTTCCATATTGGTCCCAGCATGGTTGAATTAATACATGTATTAATTCAACCATGGGTCCCAGTACCTCATGCTGCAGTGCCCGGGATATCAGCTTACATGTGATCAACATAAACCGACTTCGCGCAACGTGCGACCTAAATGCTAGCAGCTTAACCTGGTGTTGCCCGGGATGAAGAATCTCTGCAATTTTGCATTTACACACGCACGCCATTTTGATTCTCTTCATCCCGAAACCTGTCACCCCCGAAACTCTTCACCCCGAAACCCATCATCCCGAAATCCGCCACCTGAATCCCATCATCCCGAATCCTGTCATCCCGAAATCCGCCATCTGAATCCCATCATCCCGAATCCTGTTATCCCGAAACCCGTCATCCCAAAACCGGTATCCCAAAACCTATCATCCCGAAAACCGGTATCCCATAACCCATTATCCCGAAACCCGTCATCCCGACACCCGTCATCTCGAAACCCATCATCCTGAAACCCTGTATCCCGATTATCGTCATCACAAGTCCATGTATTAACTGCGAAACTAAATAACGTTAATCAATGTAGGACTCGTTTCACCCCACATGTACAATGAAAAACTCTTTGAATTTCAAGTTTTAAATTTGAATACAACTTATATTTTTAGTTGTTCATTAAAATTTGCACGTTTCAAAGTAAATAAAATCTTATAATCTATACCAATATAATTTATTCGTGATATCCGACGGTACGTCAGGGTTGTAACGCAAGTTCAATGAAATTTAGTAATGAATAAAACTATCGAAATTTATGCATATGCTTAGGCAAATGTAGCGAATAGGCATACATTTGGTTCGTAATTTTTATACAATGATATATTTAAAAAAAGTTAGGTGAAGATGATCTGAACATTTCAATCATTTTCCGGCCAGCTAACCCAACTTAATCACAGGCCCGCTGTTGTGTGCTCTGCGAGCGTGACATGCAATGCACAAGTTTAAATTTGGTCAGATAACTATTACCCGCATTTTTTAATTTAGTAACCGTTTTATAATATGCTATTTATTATCACTAATAAATAATACCGTCACACGCCAGCCTTTCGCCAACAACGTAACAGATTGGAGGCCTGCCCCCTTGACTTTTCATCAAGATACTCACTCTTACAATAACCCTCTCGTAACATAACGTAACATAGTGATCTCGGCGCTGAATTGTAGGCCTGATGTGGCCTGTCGCCGATTCCTATCCTTGCGGCCTGTCGCCGATTCTTTCGTGCCTTGTTCACAGAAGATTTAAAATCGTGTCATTTGACCAGATCTTTTCATGACTGACGATCATGACAATTACCATGACCGAGGTTAAAGGTATGCTGAAGCAGTCCCGTCGGACAGCTCCAGGAGCTGATCAGGTCACCTACAAGATGAGGGGAACACCTACATGGAACAAGCCTGCAGTGGCTTCTAAATATCTACAACAGAATCTGGATGGACCACTTGTTCCCTGATGCGTGGCGTCAAGACGTAACTCTTGCCTTCCTAAAACCAGGCCCAGTGGTTGAAAGTTAAGAGTACCAAGATTGGCGCAGAGAGGCGCGGGTTCGATCCCAGCTCTGTGCGCCAGTTTCTGGTCAGAATCGGCAAGGAGGCCGGGCGGTTAAGCACAGCAGAATTGGAGCAGTCAGTTGCGATTTCGAGACCGCAAAATGCTGTGAATGTTCTGTGATGTTGAAAATCGGCGACAGACCTACGGCCTAATAAATGCTGAAACCGCTATTAATATTATTATTATAAGCCGGCATCGGAGGCCTCCAGCTACCAACCGATCGTTCTTACTTGTTCTTTGCTTTATCTATCCCAGTGGTTCCCAAACTTTTTCAGGCTGGCGCCCCCTTTGGCTCCCTATAGTGAACCTAGTGAACCCTTTGGCTCCCTACGTGTGTTTGGTTCCCCCACACACACGTATAAAAACATACACCTCTTTCTTGAAATTCAGTACGCTGCAATTTTAAAAGATAAATGTTAAACACAAATGTGTATTTCACAAATAGAACCCCATTTAGTAAGCCAATATGTTTTTTTAGCTGTTTTAACTGTTTCAGCACTAGAAAGTTTGAAACCTAGGACGTCTAGGGCAAATTTACGGCCGGACTCGTGGCCGGTCGCACGACTAATCTCCTAATTCAATTTTCAAGTAATATTTCTTAAATTAAAGAACGCAGCTCAATGAAACATGGACCCTGTATTTGTCAAAACCTAACGGTGATTTTTAGCTGGTAAAAACTTTTAAATTTTACCTTCATTCGTGAGTTATATTGCGATTAAGGCAGAAATTTGCAGTGATCAAAGAATTTCTTCCAAACTCCTGAACAGACTTGAACGAAATTTTGAATATACATTCGTAACTACCAAACGGTGATTTTTTTAGCCTATAAAAATTTTTTCGATTTTACCTTCGTTTGCGATTTTTTTTCATTTACCCATTTCACCGTTATTCTTAATTTCACACTTCCTTATATTCGGCCCGTATCGCCGGATAATCTGTCGCTTAAATTTTCGGCGACAAATAAATTTCTTCTAAACTACTGAACAGATTTCAACGAAACTTTGTATATAAATACCAAACCCCCGAACGGTGATGTTTAGCTCGTGACAATTTATCTATTTTGCTTTTGTTCGCGCGTTATACATATATATGTAGGAGGAACGACCGGCTTTTCTACTGGCCGGTTTAACCAAGAGCCGTTTACGTATATCCGTATATCATGTATAGCCGTATAACACGCAAACGAAGGCAAAACTAAAAAATTGTAGCGAGCTAAACATCACCGTTGCTGAGGTTGGGTATTTAAATACTAAGTTTCGTTCAAATCTATTCAGTAGAAGTTGTGGAAGGAATTTCTTGATTCCTACAAATTTAAGCACGTATTGCTGTTTAAATCACGAATGAAGATGAAATGAAGAAAAAATACTTGCGAACAAAGGCACAATCGAATAAATTTTCACGAGCTAAACATTACCGTTCGGTAGTTAGGACTGTAAATTCAAAATTTCGTTCGAATCTGATCAATAATTTGGAAGAAATTCCGTGATCACTGTGAATTTCGGCCCGTATTGCCATATAACTTTTGCAAAAACAAATGAAGGCAAAATTCAAAATAAATTTCACGAGCTAAACATTACCGTTAGGTTCTAATGAATACGTGTACCAAGTTTCATCGAGTTAAGTTCATTAGTTTGAGAGATATTCTTTGATCATTGAATTTGGAAATTGGCCGTGAGACCAGCCGCGAGTCTGGCCGTTAATTTGTCCGAGACGTAAACCAAGGAGAGGTTAAAAAACAGATCTGGGTGAAAAAAACCATCGCTGGGAGTCATGCGCTGCACGTGTTGTGTACAAATCGTCAAACAAACGTTGGAACTTCTGACTTTGACTTCGGACTGCCGCCCCCCAAACGCCCTTTTCTTCCTTACCGCCCCCCAAAATCTTTCCACCGCCCCTAGGGGGGCGATATCACCCACTTTGGGAACCACTGATCTATCCACTCAGCCACCCTGATTAATGAGAAATTCTTGAAATTTTGCGTAGTACTTTAATCGATCGATCGGTAAACTACTTATATTCACAACAGTCGCACATGTGACAGTCGGATTTTCTATGTCGATCTGTCTATTTCAATTGTCAGTGATCAAGAATCAAGTCGTTCATCATGATACTGATGTCATTCCCGGCAACAGTGCAAAAATATATTATTTGGTATTGAGCCGAACCAAGGAAACGGTAGCTATTAGCCACACAAAAAGGCTATACTTTCATGTTCATGTAAACCAATTGCACTTCATGGATGGTTCTCATAATGTATGTGAATAAGCGAATATATTCAAGTCGCGTAGCAGAGCTTGGACTCCAATTTATATAAAATAGGTACAATAAATTCACGTAGCAGTTTGACACTTATTCGTTCTTCTGTGAACTTTGTAGGTACTTAGTTAAGGTGTAACAAGTGTTCATTCTCGTGTTTACTTTGTTGTATTTCCGGCCGTAAATTTGTCCAAGACGTGTTTTTCTCAGAGGATTCATGATTGATCACAGGGAGGTTTGGTAAAAATGTTATATACAACTGCCAGTCTTTTTAGTGTTATATGCAATTATTTGAAAACTCAATACAATGAATACCAAGAATGATAGAAAAATAGGTTTAAACTGCTTAAATTCATTGCATATATTTGTTTTATATACGGCCATGATTATATTTTTACTGCCCAGCGGTTTTAGGCTTTTCAGTTTTCATGCCAGTTGTTGCTTGTTGGAGCGGTATCAAAGATGGCGGGTGAGTATTGCCAATGCTCTTTCCAATCGGCCACTTTTTTCTGCTTAATTTCAATTATAGAGCTTCAATCATAATGTAAACTTATTATTGACGTTTCTTTTACTCTTTCAGATACTTTCGCCCGATATCACTGCAATTATTGCGAAGATAACATAATCGGATTGAGGATAAAATGTGTGGAGTGCGAGGACTTCGATTTGTGTTTACAGGCAAGTAAATGAATACGGATCCTGCATTTGGAAAGCCGAAGTTACCCTCGGATGGGAACTTCACTAACTTGTATTGAGCTCTCGCATCATTCGCATGAATATTTCCTATTGCTATTATGTAAATGGTAGAACTTTTTTTCCTTTATTTACGTCCTTAACAAATTAGAGTACCGTACTGTTTTTGTTTTTTTATTTGAGCGCCTAATAGTAATGGTTATTTGTACGTAATCATTGATAATTACGTTTCAAAAAGAGACCCAAAAGTAAAATTTACCTCTCATAGTAGCCTATATAAAATTGAATTTATTATAAAATTAAAATCCTGTTATCCACAATTCCTTAGATATTAATAAATGTAGGCTAAAGTGTGCTAATTAAAAAAATGAAAGGTTCTAAGGATCAAGTCCACATTTTTGCATAAAATTTCCATTTGAGTTTTTGACCAATGTTCAAAAATGGGGAAATTTTTGCCCATTTTATATTATATTAATATATATATATACCTGTTGGCTCTAAATAAATAGCTGTTCAATTTTTTTCATAATTTTGAAGAAATAGACTGGACACTTATAAAATTTCACCAAAATGTCAGTCGTTCACTATTGCAAATGCCAAATGCTCAAGTTTTTCTAGACTTGTATTGTGAGCTGTTTTTAACTAGCAAACAAAAAGAAAACATTTTCTGCAAAAACAACTATTGAGTTACAATGCAAAAAAGAAAAAATTTTCATGGACTAGCCTAAATATACACATGTTTAAAAATAATACATACATACCTACTACGTACTACCTAGCACTAGCAGGCTAGCAGTGCTAGCACTAGCAGCAGCTAACAGCTAAGCAGCTTAAATTTTAACTTTTAATAGCCAGTTTTTTTTAGATATGTTAATATTTTAGTTTGTATCTGGAGCCAAAATATCAATTGATTACAAAACAAAGTCTATTGATTTTGCTTCCCTTTTTTTACAACACTTCTAAGCTAACAATACAACAATTTTGGTGGCCAGTTGTGTGGATGTAAGCAAGTTAGCTTGTGTAAGAAGCAACAGATGTGCTATACCAGGCATTCCTACCCATTACCATCATAGCCAGATATGCAGTTCCATTCCAATAAGGAATATAAATATGCAAAAGATGGCTGAGATATGACCACCAAAAAATCCTGTTAAATGTAACTGGGCCTGTCTTATCTCACAACTGGGCCTGTCTTACCTCACAACTGGGCCTGTCTTACCTCACAAGTCACAACTGGGCCTGTCTTATCTCACAACTGGGCCTGTCTTATCTCACAACTGGGCCTGTCTTATCTCACAACTGGGCCTGTCTTATCTCACAACTGGGCCTGTCTTATCTCACAACTGGGCCTGTCTTATCTCACAACTGGGCCTGTCTTATCTCACAACTGGGCCTGTCTTATCTCACAACTGGGCCTGTCTTATCTCACAACTGGGCCTGTCTTATCTCACAACTGGGCCTGTCTTATCTNCTGGGCCAGTCTTACCTCACAACTGGGCCAGTCTTACCTCACAACTGGGCCTGTCTTACCTCACAACTGGGCCTGTCTTACCTCACATCCATCTTACTCTGTAGTTGTTCAAAATTTGTTTGAATGATTATTTTACTTGACATACCTAAGTATACATTGAGTATATTGGACTAAATTTTTGTCTCTTGCTTCAAATAACCATTTTAATTCTTTAGCTTGTTTTCATTGGAGAAATTGAGGGAACTACTGTGAATTGCATCATCTGTGTGTTTTTTTATAATTTAATTTATTATAATTTGTTCTATTTATATTTATTCATATTTACCTAAATTTATATAGGTATATTTATAAACATATGAAGTATAAAAAATGCCTAATTACCTACAATATCTAATTAAAAATAATACCTACATGCCTAGCAGCTTCAATTTTTTTTATATCCATCTTATTATGTTAAGTACCTATAATGAAATACCGTATTAGTTTCTGGAGCCAAAATATTAATAAATATATTAAAATGAACATGTTAGAATAAATATATTAAAATAAATATTTTAAAATCCGAACTTCTACATCATGTAATGCATAGAATAGGTAGTATATATAATCTAAATTGAAATTTGTAAATGTTACAAGATAATTTTGCTTTCAACTTTCAAAGACTTATTAAATCTCTACTCATCTGATCTTGTCACTTTTTAAATTAGTGATTTACTTTTCGAAAAAATATTTAATTTGAGCTTCTTATGAACTCTGAAGATGCTTGAATTTTATTTATGAATTGAACCCAAAATGATTAATTGCATGTTCATAGTTTTCTGTAAACTGGCAGAGATCAGTTCAGTGGGAACTTATGCATCAGCATCATATACTATACGGTACCCATGTTATATATCTGTTAGTTTTAAATTTGCTTACATTTGTATGAATTATTATTTTTAGAAGTAATTATCACTATTATGAATAGTAATATGATGCTCTAATTCTATACCTACATATAGATATAAAGATAGATATAATTTAAAAATATTTTCTCTAAATTTAAAATGCCCAAGTATCAGAAGTTCTTTTATCCCTCTTAAAATTGTGTGATTGCTCATTTAATATTATGAAGTTCTGAAAAGATTTGTTATTACATTAGATATATTTCCAGAAAAATGTCTTATTTACTTGAGCTTTTATCATGTCCTTGTTATTTACTGAAGTTTGTCACTGCAGTGCTTCTCGTCTGGAGCCGAGATTGGGAAGCACAGAGCCGGCCATGACTACCAGTTTATGGTGAGCGTCAGCCATAATTAGCCATGCATGATTCTTCATCTGTTCATTTTGTTGTTCATCTGTACTAATTTTGTTGATCATAACCTCTTCGGTTTTCATTTCAATGATAAGAAATGTTTGTAGAATACCTAGTACCGCTAGTGCGGTAGAGTTGATTACATGGTACTAAAATAGAATTAATTCTCATAGAACAGTTTGAGTACACTATTTACCAGTGCATATGTAACAGCCAAACATGTGCTGGTCATTTTTCTATTTGAAGATCCTTTGATATGCTGAAAATTTACATAAATGTAATTTTCTTCTCATTTCAATCTTGAGAATTTGCATGATTTTCATCTAGTGTAGGCTGGCTAGCTAGTGTAGGCTTATAAAAGTCAATTTTGAGCTTAAAATTATCAATCACATGTACAGACTTTTCCTTTTAATGTCTGATATGTACCTCACTGAGATTTTGTCCATGGCCCTGTAATTTGCATCCACTCCTTCATAAACAATTACAGACTATTTGAATTACTATTGAAAGAAATGTTAGCCAAACTTGAATAACTTTGGCTTAAGAACTTTTAGCATTGATTACTAGTCATCAGGAATGCTATGCAGCTGCATATATCCCGAGGTTTTCATTCATGTTATACATGTTCATGCTGCACATAGCAATCGATTATTCTTCCTTCGAACTGAGTGTTGATGAATGACTGCAAGAAAAGACTTTTTTTTGACATGTAATTTGCCATGTTTTGGTGTTGAAGATATTAACTCTTGCTCCATTGCTATTCAAATTTTTACAATTTCTCCCAGAATTTTTTGCACATGGTATCTGTATTACAAGTGTGTTATACTATGTATACATATACTATGACCAACGTTTTATATGCCTGTATGATTAATTTCTATGCTTCACATCATATCTTGCATTGAAATCATTTGTATAAAGAACTCCACCTTTCCTGTTACTGTCTGTGTTGTCAGTTCTTTAGCTCTCTTGCTTAAAGTTTTTTGTTGTCTTTAAGTCTTGATATAATTTTGTTAAGATGCATTAGTTATTTTGCATGGTTATGACACTGTGAGATTCTCTGAGCTTGTTCACAAATGTTCACTCTATTGCTATGTGGTTGATTTTAACCATTAAAACTTATGATCAACATTACTGCTATTCCTTATAGCAACATGTTTTCTTCATGTAATTTACTCACTTTTAAGTGTTTCATGTGTAATGCATGCTGAGAAATCATTCAATGAAGAAATCTTTGATATGCAGCTCTTCATAATACAGGCCCTGTTTTTTATGTGTGTTGCATCTATATTCTCTATTTAATCTCTCAATGCGCATCTTGCTCTAAAATTATTCCGTGTATTTATTACTATTTTCTTTGCCTGAGAAGATTAAAATGGGATAAAAAAATTTGCTTGATGGTAGATTTCATGCTTAATGATTGTAATTGTAATGATTGTAATTGTTGCATTGTTGATCGTGTTGCTACAATCTTCCTTGTTCAGCTTATATCTAGAGTCATGAGTCAAGTAAGCATTTGAGAGAAACATGAAGGAATCATGTGAGAAATTCAAACAAATTATCTGCTATTAGTGCTACTGTAAAATGGGGCAACTTTGACCACTTTTTTTTCAAAACAATGCCATTATTTTACTAGATAAGTTAAACTTGAATTGAAACATGAAAAATACAGGTCTATACCCTAGCTTTACTCACCATAAATTGCTGGCTCCTGCCTCTCATAGTTTTGATGTAATTTCAAAAAAAGTGATGGTCTTTGTTACCCCAGCTCTTGGGGTTTCTTTGACCGGGTGGTAAAATCATTCCAGGTTGTGGTGCATTGTAGTAGAACTCTTCTAGTTACATATGCAAAAGACAGATTTTAGGAAAGTGTCATAGTTTGCAAATGGGGGGCGCTGCCCCCCAATGGGCGAAATGTGACCACCTAATGGCAGCCGTGACGGGGTAAAATTGACCGGTTTGGAAATTAAGTTAAAATTACCATATATAAGACTCTGTAGAGTCTGAAACATGAAGAAAAAAACATTAATAGGTGTATCAAACATAAAATATGTTATATAAGTACCTATGGTAATTTTAACTTAATTTCCAAGCCGGTCAATGTTGCTCCGTCACGGCTGCCATTAAGTGGTCAAAGTTCCCCCATTGGGGGGCAGCGCCCCCCATTTGCAAACAATGACACTTACCTAAAACTCGTCTTTTGCATATGTAACAAGAGTTCTACTACAATGCATCAAAACCTGGAATTATTTTACAAAAAAAAAAAAAATTGGAGGGGGTACTCCGACAGGCTTCAAATAATAGCTCTTTGTTGTGGGTCACATTATTAATTTTTTAACCTATTAGAAATGCAAACTTTTTAAATTTTTCTATTGTGTTACGTAGCCTCAGTATTGGGCCTTTGATGGCCATTGACAAAATTTTTCTATGTCAAATTGTTTTTGAGTTTTGGGGGTTTTTGTTAAAAAAACGAAAAGTGATCAAAGTTACCCTGCCGGTCAAAGTAACCCCATTTTACGGTATATATTGTGATGCTCATTTTTTTAATTCTGTTGAAAATTAGTTGTCTACTTTTTAAAAAATGCAATTTTAAGCTGTAAGGTTAAGTATATATACATAACACTAAATTATATCAATTTTACAAGCCCAACAAATCAGTATTAGAGTTTTGTGAGAGAACAAGATGTTTGTTAGTACCTCATTTCACCATGTAGCTCATATTTTGCCATCATACAATAGAAAAATTTCTGGACTTGCTGTTTTTGAACTGAAGTTCTCATATATTTTATTGTTGATCTTGAGTTATAAATGTATTCACAAGATCTAGTTTTAAGTTGTTGCCTATGCCTTGCCAGTTCACTGTAATGCTGCTCATGAACAAGAAGCTCTATTATTGCTGTGGTGTGCTGGTCTGTATCTGTATTGGTGTGTGACAGGTTAGTTAGCTATATGTATTATTGCTTTGGTGTGCTGGTTTGTGTTGTTGTTGTGGTTCCACAGTCTCATTTTTACAAGAGACCCCCCTTGCGCAAGTACGACACCACTGATAGGGGGTCGCTCCAGAGCTGTAGGGTCGATGTTACGTGGTGGTGTTGTCTGAGATCCTGCCAGAGCGGACATTCCAGGAGAATGTGAGTGATTGTGTGGGGAGCTCTCTGGCAGGATGGGCAGGTGTCTGTGTCTGCTTGGCCTATTCTGTTTGCATATGTTTGTAGTGAAGGGTGGTGGCCGCAGCGCAGCCTGGCTAGGTGTACTCTCTCCAGTCTAGAGAGCTGTGTTTCTGTGCTGCTTATGTCAGGTGGTGGGTGTCCAAGGACTTAGTTGTTGCCGGCCAGCTCCAGCGTTCTAAGTGTCATTATTGTGTGTAAGTGTTTTTTTGTGCTGGTGTTGCCTTGGGGTGGGGGTACTGTATCTAGTATGTTGGTGTAGTATCTGTGTGGGGTTTGCACTATTTGTCTGTGTGTAGGTGGGTGGTTGCATAGGTAGTGGCACGGGTGTTCTGTGTTGTTTATGGCTGGCTGGTCTGTGTTGTTTGTGTTGGTGTGTGACAGGTTAGCTAATGTTTTGTGTGTTGTTCTCTTCTTTCTGTCATGCACCTCCTCACATCACTCGGACTGGCACACATCCTCCACATCTCGGCTCTCATGACCGAAGTGGCGTCTGCACCATCCATGGCATCTCTTGCCATCCATGGCATCTCTTGCCATCCATGGCATCTCTTGCCATCCATGCCATGGCATCTGTTGTCATCCATGGCATCTCTTGCCATCCATGCCATGGCATCTGTTGCCATCCATGGTATCTGTTGCCATCCATGGCATCTGTTGCCATCCATGGCATCTGTTGCCATCCATGGCATCTGTTGCCTACCATGGCATCTGTTGCCATCCATGGCATCTCTTGCCATCCATGCCATGGCATCTGTTGTCATACATGGTATCTGTTGCCATCCATGGCATCTGTTGCCATCCATGGCATCTGTTGCCATCCATGGCATCTGTTGCCTACCATGGCATCTGTTGCCATCCATGGCATCTGTTGCCATCCATGGCATCTGTTGCCTTCCATGGCATCTCTTGCCATCCATGGCATCTGTTGCCATCCATGGCATCTGTTGCCATCCATGGCATCTGTTGCCATCCATATCATCTGTTGCCATCCATATCATCTTTTGCCATCCATATCATCTGTTGCCATCCATATCATCTGTTGCCATCCATTTCATCTGTTGCCATCCATGCCATGACATCTGTTGCCATCCAAGCCATGGCATCTGTTGCCATCCATGCCATGGCATCTGTTGCCATCCATGCCATGGCATCTGTTGCCATCCATGCCATGGCATCTCTTGCCATCCATGCCATGGCATCTGTTGTCATACATGACATTTGTTGCCATCCGTGCCATGGCATCTGTTGTCATACATGACATTTGTTGCCATCCGTGCCATGGCATTTCTTGCCACCCATGCCATGGCATCTCTTGCCATCCATGCCATGACATCTGTTGTCATACATGACATTTGTTGCCATCCATGCCATGGCATGTGACAGCTGTCATCACTGCCTCATTTCTTGAATGTATGAATTGAATCTTTTACTTGACAAATAATTACTTTTCATCAAAAATTACATGCTCTCATTTCTTCTACGAACGTTTATGTAAAAAAATTGCAAAATAATTGCAATATCCATTTGATGAAATTGAATCTGCCACAATGCTCATTCATACATTCACTACTAATCATATTTTCTTCAATGGTTACATTATGTACTTGTATGGTGCTAATGCATTGAGATGTAATATGCGTTGGCAAGATGTGATATGTTTGACTAATGCATTTGGTGGCTGTTTCTTTTCCTCGTACAATGATACACTTAATTTATATTTTCATCTGCTGTTGCTGCTATGTATGTTCAACTCCAGTGCTTATTCTGCATTCTTGCTTGTCTTTTTGCTGTGTTCTGTTTTAATTTTTTTTCATTGCCATGTTTGTCTCATGATTTTCACTTTTGTTTTGTTTGACATTTTGTGTGGTGCTTTTACCATTGCTCTCTCTCTCTCTTTGATTTTTTACTTGTTTCCCTGCCAATTTTAACCTTCTCATTCACTGAATTTCCTCCTAATTTTTTGTTATTTCTTCATTACCTTGCTCTGCTCTTGCTCTCAATTTCTCTTATACTTTTTGATTCTAATTTGGAATTGTACAATCTGCCTTTCATTTTTGAATCAATTCTTTCATGATTTCAATATTCTCACTTCTGCAACAAATCTGACATTTATTTGTGGTTTCTTAGTCCTATTTTTACTTCCATTGTACTTTTCAATTAAACTTTTAATGTTGTTTGTTGCATCGGAGTCATAATTATTAATGTCTAATTGGCAATTATTTGACATGCTCAATTGTGAACGGCTGGGACCTTTTTTCTGACTATGATCATATGTTTAACTTCTAAATTATTTGTATGCGCAATTTTGTTTCATGGCTGGGAGCTTTTTTCTGACTATAATAATATATTTTAACTGCTAAATCGTTTGTATGCGCAATTTTGTTTCAAGTGTAGCCGGGGATGTTCCACCAGGACACAGGACAGTACAGCCTGTTCAGCAGCAGTGCTGGAGCAGCAACAGGTACCTGTACTGCAGGAGCAGCTACAGGTACCTGTAATAACGGTAGTGGAGGTGCCCCCAGCCTGCCCCCAGCAGCTCCACCCACCAACAAGAGGATATGGACGGCCAGGGAGGAGGTACGGCTGCTGGACGCCATCGAGCAGTACGGCTATGGCAACTGGGAGGACATCAGCCGACACATCGAGACCAAGACGGCTGAGGGTAACTGCTTTATTAATTCATTCATTGGAACTTATGGCACTTCTTATCATAAATCTATTCATCAGCCAACATATCAAGACTAAGACGGCTGAGGGTAAAGTCCAGGGCCCATACTTTTAAAAAACTTAATAGATTGTAAGTTCATCAGCCTATCAATGACGGCCTTTCAAGCAAAATCCACCAATCATAGACAAGAAAATAGAGCGTAAGTGGTACTTACGTTCACTTAGCAAGTTTAGAAAGTATGACTCCTGGTTTATAAATCCATTCATTAGAACTTATGCCACTTCTTATCATTAATGCATTCGCTATGAATAAAATCTGAATGAGAATATATATGAAAAACCTTGTTAAGTATAAATGATATACTAGTTCTGTCGGTTATCTATGTAATAACTATTGTTATCATGCAATGCATGTGGCATGTATGGAAAGTGCTGTGCTCAATAAATGATGAGGAAGTGCTGTGTACTAAGTTGTTGAATAAATAAAGTCAACAGTACCATATGTGATTAAAATTCTTTGATGTACCTTTATACATGTGATTCATTGAACAATCCACTACCCATGGCTTCATCAGCATATGACCATGTGTGAACACTACCTACTCACACAATCAACAAATTCACAGGGTGTAGTAGTACATATGGTAAATATATATAGTGTAATAGATATGCCCAAAAAAGGTGTAATAGGGTGTAATAGATATGTAAAATATATAGGTTGTAATAGATATGCCAAAAATTCCACTACACTTGAGTTTGTGAGCACATCATCACGTGAGAACACTACTCAGACTTGATGCAAGCAACTGATGTTGACAGAGGCGCGTCTGAAGTACATCGGCTGCTACATCGACGGCAGCATCGGCAGGGCAACCTGGGGGCCAGCCATGCAGCGACGCCAGCTGCCTGTAGAGCACAACCTTAACGGTGGGTGGTGGTGCTGTGGTGGTGATGTGGAAGTAATGTGGTGGTGCTGTGGTGCTGCTGGGGAGGTGCTGTGGTGGTGCTGTGGTGCTGCTGGGGAGGTGCTGTGGTGCTGCTGGGGAGGTGCTGTGGTGCTGCTGGGGAGGTGCTGTGGTGCTGCTGGGGAGGTGCTGTGGTGCTGCTGGGGAGGTGCTGTGGTGCTGCTGGGGAGGTGCTGTGGTGCTGCTGGGGAGGTGCTGTGGTGCTGCTGGGGAGGTGCTGTGGTGCTGCTGGGGAGGTGCTGTGGTGCTGCTGGGGAGGTGCTGTGGTGCTGCTGGGGAGGTGCTGTGGTGCTGCTGGGGAGGTGCTGTGGTGCTGCTGGGGAGGTGCTGTGGTGCTGCTGGGGAGGTGCTGTGGTGCTGCTGGGGAGGTGCTGTGGTGCTGCTGGGGAGGTGCTGTGGTGCTGCTGGGGAGGTGCTGTGGTGCTGCTGGGGAGGTGCTGTGGTGCTGCTGGGGAGGTGCTGTGGTGCTGCTGGGGAGGTGCTGTGGTGCTGCTGGNGTGCTGTGTGGTGGTCAGTGGGGTGCTGTGTGGTGGTCAGTGGGGTGCTGTGTGGTGGTCAGTGGGCTGCTGTGCGGTCAGTGGGCTGCTGTGTGGTCAGTGGGCTGCTGTGTGGTGGTCAGTGGGATGCTGTGTGGTGGTCAGTGGGCTGCTGTGCGGTCAGTGGGTTGCTGTGTGATGCAGGTAGTAGTGATGACGGTCTATGATGCAGGAGTGGGACAACGATGCAGAGTGCGCCGTAGCGCCGCTGTTCCTTCATCCCACGGACGACGAGGACGCCGACATCGCTCTCAAGCTCGCCCAGGTGAGACCTGCATCACTAGTGATGGTGGTCCATTAGTAGTTGGTGGTGTGATGGTGGACCATTAGTTGGTGGTGTGATGGTGGACCATTAGTTGGTGGTGTGATGGTGGAGCATTAGTTGGGAACACAACGAATGTTGAAAAGAACCTCTTCAGGGTTGATAAGAACCTATCCAATGAGAAAAACCACATCGAATTTTGAAGAGAACTATTTAAATGTGCCACTATAAACGTATGATTGCTGGAGGGCTGAATATAGGTGCGTTTGTTGTGCCTGGTAGACATGTACGTTATAAATATAGGTAGGTGCATATGCACCTCACACAATCACACAAATAAGTGGTATGTTGTCTGCAGGTTGACATGTACCTGCGCAGCCTGCGCGAGCGGTCGCGGCGTAAGCGCGTGGTGCGCGACTTCCAGCTCATCCAATTGTTCTTCAAGCGAGAACAAGACAAGCAGAACCAGCAGCCCAGGAAGAAGAACAGGGATGACAGGTGTTCTTGCAACAACACTCTTATCTGTTCTTATTTATCTGTTATCTCTTAACGTCTGTTATTTGTTATCTGGTGTTATTTGTTACCTATCTGTTAACATCTGATATTTGTTATCAGGTGTTATTTATTTGTTATCTGGTAACATCTGTCATTTGTTAATTGTATTCTCTTATCTGTTCACCTCTCGTATGCCACAACAAGCAGTTATCAGCAGTTGTTCTCTTATCTGTTCTCTCGCGCGCCACAACAGGCAGTTATCAACAGTTGTTTTCGTATCTGTCCTCTCGTTCGCCACAACAGGCAGTTATCAGCAGTTGTTCTCGTATCTGTTCTCTCGTTCGCCACAACAGGCAGTTATCAACAGTTGTTCTCGTATTCCACAACAGGCAGTTATCAGCAGTTGTTCTCTTATCTGTTCTCTCGTTCGCCACAACAGGCAGTTATCAGCAGTTGTTCTCTTATCTGTTCTCTCATGAAAATTATTAGTAAATTAGCCATGGATCAAAAAATGTTTCTTCTGAATTCAAAGTCAGTTTTTATTGAATGTTCTCACGCGAAATACTTGATCAATAATCTACAACTCTAGTCACTATTAATAAAATACAGAACACTCATTTTTAAATAGAGAACACTCGTCCTACTTGTAGGATATGCTAAATTTATTGTTGATTTTTTTCAAGTCGAAAGAAATGCCGGGCTGACTAGTTTTATTTGGCCGCAGTGCCATATTGATGGTTATAAGAGCTATAATATTGTCATGACGTAGACATGTGTTGCCATATTATATGTCATGTGTTGCCAGCAGCTGGCAAACATCGCTTGTTGCCAGTAACAACACTTTTTGCCAGGGAGGTGATGAGCGATAAGTTGCGCGGGGTCAGCCAGTTCCAGACGGCCAGTGAACATCACAACCTCGTCAGCTCCCTGCTACGGGAGAAGCAGCTCAGGACCAGGATAAAAGAGCTCAACAGGTGCTGCTCTCTTATATTTTGTACCTATGATATATATTATATTGATATATTAATGTATTGTGCGAGTCCTGCTCAGGGAGAAGCAGCTCAGGACCAGGATCATGGAGCTTAGCAGGTGCTGCTGCTCTCTCAGTTCTTGCATCATCTCTCTCTTATATTTGATTATATTAATGTATTGTGCGAGCGCTCCTCGAGCGGAAGCATCTCAGGTGCTGCTCTCTCACACCTTGCATGCTCTCTCTATTCAGAGTTCGTACCGGTCATGGAAAACCTGGGAAGTCATGGAATTTTATATTTATATTCCAGGCCTGGAAAGTCATTGAATTTCATTTCAGGTTATGGAAAGTAATGGAATTTGCAAATAAAATATGAAAAAAAAGAAGTGTTTTTCTGTGCTGCGTGTGTTGAACTGTTCAGTCTCTTGTTTCCTGCGTTCTGATTGGAGAACCAATCACGTGAGCTCGGTCACCGTGTGCAGTTGCATTGGACAACTTTTTGATGTGCAGTGGCAGCGTTTCATCTTCAGCGTGCAATTTCTACATCACCATGCCTGGAAAGTGTAAATTTCATGACTTGTGGTTAAGTATAGAAGCTTATCGTGACTGGCTTGCTCGTCATTCAAAGCATGAAGCTATAGCGATATCATGTACCGTACATTGTGCTCGAAAGACTTCAATGTGTCAAATATGGGGAAGTAGCTTAAGATCCATGCCATCTTTGAATAGCCATGAAGAGCTATGCATTTACATGTCACAGCTCGTGTTTTGACTACAAACTATGCTATCAGTTCAGGGTTCTTAGAAGTGGTCTGGTCTTGGACAGTCAAGGGGACTGAAAGACAGAGTTGACTTTAAGTGAACTATATTTATATTACGGAACGCGTGACAAAGCGGGGTGACTATATTAGCAAGGCTTTAGCTTCAGCCAGCAAACGTGTTGCTTGGGTGGCTGGCGAGTGACTGACTATCGGTGCTGAAGGCACAGTAGAGAACCGCAAGTGTGATGTCACTGAAGGTGGCACACACAATCAATGAACAGCTGAGGATGTCGGTCAGAACCGGACATACGCGTTTGCTATTTATCAGCTGTAGGAGATGATAGAATAAGCACGGTTAGTCTTTCAGTCATGCTAAACCTGTCGTATATGAGTCTTGGAAAATTATATTGATGGCCATGGAGAGTCATGGAAAAGTCATGGATTTTTTTTCTCTAAAAACCAGCACGAACTCTGTCTATTATATATGATATATTAATGTATATTGCGAGAGAAATTTATTTTCTATGGGAGATCAGGTGATGCTCTCTTATCCCCTGCATGCTGTCTCTATTATATTTGATATATTAATGTATTTAGCTAATATAATTCCCTGCTCTGCGAGAAGCATCTCAGGACCTGACAAATGCTGCTCTTTCAGTCTTCGCTTGTTCTCAATATGATGATCTCATGCATGGTGTCTTACGAGGTGAAATGGTGAACACTCCTTCTTTGGTATGAGCTTTATTGTGCAGCACATCATTCTCCAACACGGATATAATTCTTCATCATTGAAGTATCATCATGAGGGACTTTTCGTTATGCGATCATTTATTTGCAATGTACAATCTGTCCTACTTTTTTTGTACTTCAATCGAGTTCAAATTGTATGAGTTTAGATGCTTTTGTTCGAGTTCAATCCCTAAGTTCCCAATATCAAGCTCTTAAGTTTCCAATCTCAAATTATTTATTCTCAACGTGAAATTTCTCAATCTCAAATGCACTCTAGAGTCTAGACTGCGTCCATTCTTGAAATTTAGGATGTATGAATTATAGGAATGACACTATGTATGTACTCGGAGCTTACCCAGGCATCTATGGACGATACAAGAGTGCTGATGAAGATCACAGATGACCTAGACTGCGAGAGGTTACAGGCTGACCTATCGTCAATCTATGATTGGGCCCTAGTGAACAATATGCAGTTCAACGGCACCAAGTTCGAAGTAATGAGATACAGAGTGTACAAAGATTGGGATGCCACATCGCTACTTGGCATCAGATGGCACAGATATTGAGGAGAAGCAACTATATAGTTTGAGATCTCAGAGTGTTGATGAGTACTGAAGCCATGTTCAATGCCCAATAGAGGAAATAGTTGCCCGAAGCCTGCAATGGATGGGTCGGAGCGGCAGACATTTCGAACAAAAAAAGCAGCACCAATCATTACACTCTTCAGAGCCCTTGTTCTCCCCAATCTTGAGTACTGCTGCCAGCTTTGGGCGCCACTCAGACGGGTGCGGTACGGAAACTTGTCAGTCCAGCAGACTTTCACATCCAAGATCAGCGGCAGGAAGTGGACCTGAACTACTGGGAAAGGCTGAAACAACTGGGACTATACTCAATGAGTAGTACAGACTCGCTGTACAGACTGGCTCCCAACTTTGAGAGTGAGACATCTAAAATAGTGCCGTATTCAACGAAAGGGGAGGGAGACTGTGCAGGATTCCCCCATTTAATAACCAAGCCACAGCCAGAGTACAGACTATTCGTGAGTGATCACTGTCCGTGGTAGGACCTGGGCTCTTTAATGCCTCTCAAAAGCGCTGAGAGGAGCATAGTTTGGGGACTAGGAAGTTCCAAACTGAAACTCATCATAAGGTTATGTGTATGTAAAATGTGTATGAGAGTAACTTAATCCCGCTCCTCTGTGTGCAGGTATCGCCGTAACGGCATCCGTCACGTCGAGGAGTGCTATGAGTACGACACCGCCAGGGCGCGACGAGACAAGCGCAGGGAGACGCGCAGGAAACATGTGAGTCCTGCATGCCTATGTGCGTCTGGCTTGCCTGTGTCTTGCGTGCCTGTGCCTTGCGTGCATGTGTCCTGTGTGCCTGTGCCTTGCATGCCTGTGTCTTGTGTACCTGTGCCTTGTGTACCTGTGCCTTGCGTGCATGTTGTGCCTGTGTCCTGTGTGCCTGTGTCCTGCATGCCTGCGTCCTGCGTCCTGCGTGCTTGTGTCCTGCGTGCCTGCGTCCTGCGTGCCTGTGCCCTGCGTGCCTGTGTCCTGCATGCTTGTGTCCTGCGTGCCTGTGTCCTGCGTGCCTGCGTCCTGCGTGCTTGTGTCCTGCGTACAGGTGTGGACATCCCTAGTGTGAATGACATGCGGTGATCACTCAGTGCGCTAACCCTGATCTTCACGCATACCTGAACTAGGCACCTGAACTAACTTGTATCCCCCCACAGGGCACGTGTGGGGGAGGCAGCGACTCTCCCCTCCTCCCCACTGATCGTCTGAACTTTCCTGCAGGGCAGCCAGCCTCAGACTCCGACACCCAACCCTGCCCCAGCAACCCCGGCAACAAGAGAGTGAGTCATGTTTAGTGTGTCATACTTAGTGTGAGTCATGCTTAGGGTCATGCTTATTTTGCGTCTACTTATTTGAGACCTACTTAGTGAAGAGCTACTTACGCATCTTACTGCTACTTAGCTTAGTGTACTGGGCCTATAATTTAAAAAAAAGTGAGAGATCGTAAGTTCATCAGCCAATCATTGACTGCCTTTCAAGCAAAATCCACCAATCATAGACAAGAAAATAGAGCGTAAGTACTTACGTTCACTTAGCGAATTTTAGTATGGCCCCTGTTCTTTAAATTACTAATCTTAGTGGTGTTCACGGCGCTGCCACTAATATATCTCTCATATTTCAGAAACGAAGAAAGAAATCCCAAATCTTCGGACGAAAGAAGATGCACTGCAGCCGCTACTGGCGATGGAAGATGGCTCAGCGGGAGCTGCAGCGACAACAGCAACAACAACAACAGTCAGAAGAACGATGTTGCTGACACGCTGCCCCAGCTCAGCTCCTTGCCAGGGCATCATCTGCTGAGCCAACATGAGAGGAAGGTTATTATATTACCTCTTGCCAGGGTTTTTATATCACCTCTTGCCAGGGACCTAAACCTCTGTAGATTATATCCGTAGACAAAAAATTTATCATTTATGTCTATGCGATAGGTATGGAGGTCACTTGTTGACTAAGTGTGTAAGGGATCAGTAAGAGACCATCTGTCTAGATATCTTATTTCTTGATACGGGGTGGTAATACATGTGTTATTATAGAAGTATAAGCTACGGTGTCGACCGTAAGGTCAGAGAACTTCTAACGCGATGTATATCGTGGCGCGCTCGTTAGCTACTGCGGGGACCTTTACTAAGGTTCCCAGCCCTTTTATAGACTTTGTACTTCCGTTCACTGGGTTCTTGGGGGACCTAACCAAGGTTCCCAGCCCTTATATAGACTTTGTACTTCCATCCACTGTGTTCTTGTCCTCGTGACACATGTGCTGTATAAGCTGTTTATTATTACAAGTAGTGCGATGATATTAGAATATAACGAAGTCAATAACTTTTCTTTTATAATTTTATAGAAAATTTCTATGTTGAGAAATATTTTGAGTGTAATGATCGTAAATTCTTCATTCTGTAACTGTTATTTGCTACTTCAATGTTCCTAATTTGAAAAAAATGTATAATTATGTTGTAGTGTAGGTGCAATGGTGTTGTAGGTGTAATGCTCAAGTATAATTCTGTTGTAGAGTTGGTCCTATTTTCTTTTTACTAGCCTATGGTTTTCCAACTTTGGTTTTCTTTGAACCAGAGAAAACTAAAGAAAACCAAAGCCTTCGGTTTTCCAACTTTGGTTGATGACTTCAGTTTCCTACAAATTTCTATGTCCGCTCATGAAGGGTTAACCGTCTATTTAATGTATCTGCTTGCAGAATGTTAACCACGTACCTCAGTTTCTCATTGAAGTGTTTATCGCCTGTTATTGTTGTGGTGTTAATATATATCTTGCATTTATCACGGTCATCCATCAATCCTCCATAACGATGTATGCAGATGTATGGCATATTAGCGTAATAGTGTATGCAGATGTATGGCATATCAGCACTCACTCTTGGTACGAGACTTGATGTCTCCTGCAGATATCCGAGGGAAACTTAGCGGAAAATTTTTGTTCTATGCAAATAAAACGTTTTTTTTTATTTTGATTCGACATAAATTTCTGTTTCTTGTGCAGCTTTGCGCCAGCCTGAGCATGAAGCCTTCTCAATACATATCGTACAAAGCCCTAGTTCTTAAGGTAAGCCTCTCAATACATATCGTACAAAGCCCTAGTTCTTAAGGTAAGCCTCTCAATACATATCGTACAAAGCCCTAGTTCTTAAGGCAAGCCTCTCAATACATATCGTACAAAGCCCTAGTTCTTAAGGTAAGCCTCGCAATACATATCGTACAAAGCCCTAGTTCTTAAGGTAAGCCTCTCGATACATATCGTACAAAGCCCTAGTTCTTAAGGTGGGCCTCTCAATACATATCCTACAAAGCGCTTTCTTAAATTTTATATTTTTAGATTTCATCCCGACAATTTATTATAGCATTACGACTAGTGACTGAGAACTTATTATAGCTCTCCTGCTATTTACCTGATTTTGATTGGCGTGTTTTATTGATTGTATTTAATCCTTCACAATGAATGGATTTGCTAGGCTTGTTGCTATGAAATTGATTTCATGGTGTTGTGTGGAGCTGTATTGTGAACGAATTGAGTTGTAATGAACTGTGTTGTAATGAACTGTGTTCTAATGAACTGTGTTGTAATGAACTGTGTTGTAATGAACTGAGTTCTAATGAACTGTGTTCTAATGAACTGAGTTCTAATGAACTGAGTTCTAATGAACTGTGTTCTAATGTATTGAGTTGTAATGAACTGTGTTCTAATGAACTGAGTTCTAATGAACTGTGTTCTAATGTATTGAGTTGTAATGAACTGAGTTCTAATGAACTGTGTTGTAATGTATTGAGTTGTAATGAACTGAGTTCTAATGAACTGTGTTGTAATGAACTGTGTTGTAATGAATATTAAACTCGGTTGCTCCGTGCGCAGGAATCATTCGAGTGTCGCCACGGCGTTGACACGCGCGCTGCGACATCAAACTCTGGCGGGGGGACTGGGCTGGGCAGGCAGCTTTGGTGTCCCCCAGGTCTGGACAGCTCTGGACAAACTGCCCTGCACAACTTCTTCTCCAGCGCCGGCTGGATAACTTCAGAGGGATGAACAACGCTTCTTATTTAATTTAAATATCACTCTGCCTTTGTGTGCTGTTCAATGCTTTGTTGTCTCGATGCCTTGCAATGTTGGAAAATTAAGTTTTAATAACGCAGTTTCTTTTTGGCATGCTTGACGGCACAAGTTGTTACCCCGGCATCAATGTTACCCCGAGTTGCCGGGGTAACACATGTACAAGTTGTTACTCTGATCCAGCCCTCCACATGAAGGCTATGTTCTTTCACAAATTCATAAATGAAATGTGCCTTACACTATCACTGTGGCACTGAACGTATTGGACTAATCATCAAACTGAAATGTAAGCTGAATCTCGAGCTAGAAACTTGCGTGGGTTGTTTTTACAATTATTTGGCTGGCGGGGGCTGGGGCAACGCTGTTACTAGAGCCTGATATTCGTCCACTGATTTTGTGTTGCTAGGTTATCGTCTGTTCGATTTTATTTATTGTGATGGTCAGGTTTAGTTACAGCAATGGTCAGGTTCAGTCTATGCAATGGTCAGGTTCAGTCAATGCAAAGGTCAGGTTCAGGCAATGCAATGGTCAGGTTCAGTCAATGCAATGGTCTGGTTCAGGCAATGCAGTGGTCAGGTTCAGTCAATGCAATGGTCAGGTTCAGTCGATGCAGTGGTCAGGTTCAGTCAATGCAATGGTCAGGTTCAGTCAATGCAATGGTGAGGTTCAGTCAATGCAATGGTGAGGTTCAGTCAATGCAATGGTCAGGTTCAGTCAATGCAGTGGTCAGGTTCAGGCAATGCAATGGTCAGGTTCAGTCAGAGCAATGGTCAGGTTCAGGCAATGCAATGGTCAGGTTCAGGCAATGCAATGGTCAGGTTCAGTCAATGCAATGGTCAGGTTCAGTCAATGCAATGGTCAGGTTCAGTCA